TCAGCATACAAATTTAATTGATAACGAAGTTTGGCGACGGTATGGTCAATTTTTTAGAATTTGTAAAGATGGACGATTGATAAAAGAACAATTCACAAGTATTTTGCAAGAAATTTGGCCTACTGGAAATGTTCACAACTTTTCTAATTATCTGTTTAATTTGTGGTAAGCGGGTCAAATTTTATTTTAACAAAAACTAGATGGAATCGTATTTGTTTTTAGTGATAAAGATCAAAAAGGATTTCTTGAGTTCTCTGAATTTATTATTCTCAATTGTCAATTGAATAATGGTAAGATGATAGATTTACCTTTATGTAGCATTTGTTTTTTATTAACTTCTTTTCTATGATAAAACTGCAGTCTTGAAAATTGTAAAATTTGAGATACCATCTGAACTTTATACTGAGATCATACTGAAATGATAAATCCTGCTTTTCAATAGAGATATAGCACTCTGGATGCTCAGCTTCAGAGAAAATAGAGATAACTACTGTAGCTAGTTGTTTTATTTTTATCTTTGTTGCTTAGATAAATCATATCTTGGCTTTTTGTTTGATATGTTTGATACTCATCACCAAGGGTTTGTTTTCATAGGTACTCTTCATTTTCTTTTATCATGTTGTTCTTTAAATAGTTCTCTGCCTCGAGAAAAAATTGAATTACTTTTCGCGTCTTTATTCGAACTTATTGGACATCCTACAGATGAACAATGTGGCGCCAACATTTCTCAGCAACAAACTGCTCATTTGCTTCAAGTAGTGGATGAAAGTAAGAGCAAGTGCTTATCACGTGATCAGTTTATTAACATTGGAAATATCAAATGGACGGATGGAGATAACGGCATTGGCACTTTACTCATCGAACATCCGTGCTGAACCATGATTTGAATAATTATCCTTTATAATTTTATTCATTGCTTATTCTAGATCATAAAGTATAGATTTTCATATCTCAAAGTACATCTTTAATGAAATGAAAATTTAGTACGTAAAAGAAGGATTACATTTTCCACGCTTGCACATTTCAGAACAGTAATTGGTAGAAACGAAAGACTACGAAACTCTTAGCCAGATATTGGGAAAAGCATTATTAGACCAATAATACCAAATTGAATCATTAAATCTTATTCTTTCGTAAAAAAAAGCGAATCAGTCTATTGATGCTTGTTCACACTTATAGACTTTAGACTGAAACAATGAACCTTTTTCGTTTAAAAATTGATATAGAGAACTTCGAGCTGCTATGCAGGATTTATACTCAACATTTTTTATTGCGATATAGAAGAACGCCAGCTTTTCATAGCAAAGATTATTGCTGTTTGACATTATTTCACTTGATCAAAAATATATATACATATATTGTGTTAAAAAAAACCTACGTCTACAGAAAATAATAGAAGATATCTATATTCTGAGGATCTCGTCATACTAGCCGCTAATCATAAGTTGCTACAGTACATTTTTGAATCGCATCAGTTATATTCAATTTTCAATATGAATGAATGATTAGAATATTTTGTAAAGAACAAAATATAGCACTTTATAAAAATCATTCAGCAAAGAAGACTGCCGCTTTCAACAAGTTATCAGTTTGCATGACATTTTTAAACTTTAATATCCAACACTGAATGTTTACTCTTGATTATATGAATATATATTATTACTCTTTTACCGGCTATTAGTCTTTGTTTAGCATATTTTTCAGTCAATTTTGATAGTCATAATGTAGAAAGAAATGCTTTGCTCTTGACCATTTGATAAATTACATCCACAACGATGTCCTTATTGGTCACATGCTTACCTCCATATGTAATATGTATTGACCGATTTTTATGAAGAACAGGATCGTTGATTATATACCGTGTGAATGCACACGCTCAGCCACAATATAGAACGGGTCCTTTGTAAAAAATAATCTAATTTTATCTTTTTTTTGTCGTTTTTGTCCTTATTGTATTTCATTTTCAAGACTTTATCGTATAGACAGGCGCTTATATACAGTACTCAACCTGTACTATGCAGGCATATAGTCGAATGAAATTAATTTAAATACACGACTCACAAGAAAAAGTGGTGCGAGACTTTCAAGGAGCACTGCATACAGCAATGTTTTTGACAAAATGTAATCTTGCGAAGTATTTCACGTTTGCTCCTGCCCACGATATTATCAAGCATGACTATCAGTTTGCCATAACTCAAATTTGCTCACACACATTGATATTCTGATCTGATAAATGCGAATAAAAATAAATAAATAATTGGCAACATAACTTTTTTTACGTGCGATTATAATCAATTGCTCAATAATAAATATAAATAAGAAAAAGAAAGCAAATAAAGGTATTGTTTTAATTTGCTGATAAGAATGATTGATAGTTAATGCATTTACAACGATAAATAAAATTATTCTATTTTATTTGACCTTACCTGCAAATTACAAACTTGAATGATAGATCTAATTGAAGAGTGAGAGCAAGGAAAGATAAATTTTTATTTACATTTTACTAGTACAAAAAGTTCTTGATTCAGGAATCTAAATGACACAGGAAATATATAGAAATCCTTCTTTTACTTATCACTAAAGCAAAATGTCGAATGATAGAGTTGAACGACAAACAAAATAGAAATAAAATATCTTATTTTAGCTTATCATTATTTTGAAATTTAAAACTAAACAAAGAAGAAAAAAGAAATTATATTGAATTTTACCTACATAATTATTAAAATAAATAATTATAAATCTAAACAAAGAATAAATATATATATATATATACAGACATTTCAAGATAAATTATAGGTTTACATGTTTCTTGAGTTATAAATCTAAATAAAAAGCCACCTAATGGTTTAGATTGGTTCCCATGATGATATCGAATAAATGGCATACAACAATCCTTCTCCTTCATCTAGTGTTCGAAACTAATCATTCCATAAATACTCAGTCCGAAGCTTGTATCTGAAACATAATATGCAAATTGTGAAATGTTCTTTAGGTCGAATTCACATAAAGTTGTCAACTCAAGACGACTCGCATGGGTATATGTGTGAGGTACATAATTATTTCAAAAACCAAGGGTATTGCATAGGAAATATGACTGAAAAAATGCATTTACTAGTCAAACAAATCCAATTATCATCTTTTTATATGCAAGAAATTGTATTTAACGTGCATTTATATATGAACACATAAGTTCACAAAGTGCTACTTTACTCACAATTCTGTTTAGAAAATAAGACAAGTCTTCAATTAAAACAAATATCAATTGTTCACATAGACCGACACAAATCTTTTTACATGACTCTATTTTTGTTTCTTTTGTGTACATTTGATAATTTCTGATTAAGACTGTACAAGTATATAAAAATCTGCACATTGAATTATTCAGATTAACGAAATTTTCAATGCAGTAGCAATTGTATCAGTTATTTTGCAATTGCCGCTTAGTATCCGTGCATGATTCATATAATTGAATATGCCTTCTGCAAATACATTTGAGTAAGGAATCGAAAAAATGTTTGTGCTTTGGTTGTATAGCCTCGGGATACTCTTTCTTTATTTTCAAAATTATCTGTATCTTTAAAAAATGAATGCTCGTACAAATGGAAAAATCGTCAAAAAATAATTGAAAATTGGATGCGCTTTTTAGCGTTAGAGTGAGAATCCACGAAAATGTCACTAGCTCAAATAGAAAAATACATTGATTTTTAACTTAAAGGTAACTTAAGTTTAGTCTAAAGAAAATTCTAAATGAAGTACAGTTGGCAATTCTGAATTCACATGAAAATAACTATTTTTTGTTATGTAGTATCAACACATATATAAGCTTTGATTAATCGTCAAGATGTGAGGCTATTCAGATGACATTGGTTCTCTTCAAATCACCGTATGTTAGATGAACGTCAAATGTTAGCTAATTATCATTTTCTTGTAAGAACTTGTCATTTATTAGGATGTGAAAATGCATTCGTTGAAATGTTATGGAAATATATTGATATATCAATATGACTATTACGATCCTTCCTATACTTCGTTTCTTAGATCTTGGTAAACAAACACTCGATCTTATTTCATTAGTAGTTAATATGTATAGAAATGATTAACTTCATTTTCATATCGTCGATGGTAACATCAAAATAGATACATCAATAGTCATATTAGGCCAAAGCAACTCGATTTTACTATGAGGCAAAGCACCGACCAGTCAAATATAATAAAAATCAATGGACATTGATCATTAAAAATTCATGTAATAATTTTATATACAATATATTATTTGGTTTTACTACTGTCCATATTTAATATTATATGGTTTCTCTTTAAAAAACAGTGGTAATGATTTTCGTAGATGTTTGTTTGATTTATGAAAATTATATGGCAATAGTCATTCATGTTTTCGGTGTGAACATATGACTGGTTGTAGCAAAAGTATTGCGACACTTTTTGTTTTGCATGTAATTCCTTTCGAGAACATGATAAACCGTTGATCGTTTTTTTTCAAAAGATGCGCCATTGAATGTTCTACTCGAATCACAAAACCAAATATTTATAGCTACTTTCGAAATTTT